TGTATTTGAGTGTGTAACTTAGTGCATGTGAGGTGAGATACTGGAGTAAACCAAGCGTAAATTTTGTCGAGCCCCCACCCAACATAACCAAGTCCATAAACCTACTTCATTAATGCGATACAGTTTTAAGATTGTCAAACACCAACCGGTATCAATCTCTATATAAAGCAGCTTTCATCAAGTTGGATGAAGCGGGCACACCTTTTACAAGTGAAATGAGGATGTGCAATGTTCGTTGCCTCACAGCCTTGTGAAACTAATAGATGGTGCATACTGTGATAGAGGACATTGGTTTGATTCAACTTAACGTGGAGGTTTCACACATAGTATGTATGCAATTATGGGTGAAGACCGAAGGCCCTCGACACGCAACTGCCCCGACCCAGTTGCATGTCCACTCTCGACAAGTAACTCATCCCGACCCCGTTGCATGTCTAGCCTTAACCCAAAACTTAGTCGACTCAGTTGCATGTCCATATCCTCGACACACAACTTGCCCAGACCCAGCTGTATGTCCATTTGTCCATCCTCGACATGCTAATTTGATTATTGATTTTTTTCCTCTATCGTGCGACTTTGTGTATTTTCAAAAATGTTCTCCGTGTTTAAAAAAAATGTTCATCGCGTATTTATAAAATGATCACCATGTATTTATAAAAGGCTCATCGTGTATTTTTTTTAAAAATTGTTCATGAACTCTGTTGTGTGTTCAGAGCATGCGTGCGTTTTCACCTCATAGTACCAGAAACAGTTGGTTTTCTTATGCTACTAGCTTGTGTTTCAGCTATCAGAATGTAATAATCGTGTAACATAAGTGGAACCGACGAGATTCAAAGCGGTTCTGTAGATAAACTGACACACTAGTTTTGTGTTGTACTGGCATTTCATACTCGCTGGTATTGTTAGACGTATCAAGCCAAATAATCCCGACGTCGTGGCATGCATCTTTTGGGGCTCCGGTACTTATGCTCAACATGCCCGCGCTTGCAGCGGGCCTTCATGTGCGTCGGCGACATCATTTGATTTCGTAACGAGATACACAAAACCCGGCCACATGAGTTCATTGGACATTGTAGATGCAAGTGTACAAAAATGCCTCCATGGATTTTGTAGCAGCTAACTCGCAAAAAAAAAAAGAAACATGTTTCTAGCATATTCCTATTTTTGTGGACAACCTCTACTAAAAAAACACAACCCACAAATGCAAAGTCCTAGCAGATCGAAAATAGAAGAAAAATGACAAGAAAATCAAGCCCAGTCGAAGAGGAAAACAAATAGGCATTCTCTTCTTGCCCCGGCAATGTTAACGCAACACGTTATGAGTCGTCCAACTAATTAACCACCAAGTTAAAACAGAAACAATGGCCAAAAAAATCATGTACGACACCAGTGAACAGACGGGAGGAGAGCTGTCAAAAGAAATGAAACGGGAGAGTAATTTTAAACCGAGAGCAAGGCCATTCAATCCTGAAACGAAGCGGCGCCGTTGTGCTGCTTCCTGTTTGTCATGTCCGCTTAGACTAGTCATAGTGGAAGTAACTTAGGTAGTAACTTTTACATACTGCACTTTAATTTATTTTTTTTATGTGCCATTGAGTTAAGGAGAAGAGAAGTGTTTAGAGTAACATAATATGTTACTGTAACATAACATTTTTCGGAAAAAGATGATTCTACAAACTAATAAATGAAGTCATCTATGACATGTTACTACTTTACACTATGGAGATAGTAACTTAGTCTAGTGTCATACTCGATTAATCACCACTTTACAAAACGTGGCAAAAGTCACCGCACCGATTAATTGACACTGGCAAAAAAATACTAAGAAAATTCTGATCGCGCTATACGTGGCAAATCGCCCACGTGCGGAAACAGGTGACGGTGCACCGAAAACGGCCACTAACAGCGCGGTCGGAGGCTGCGGTCGAAACATGGCTTTCTTTCTCTCACTTATGTGTGGATTAGAACATGACCGGCCTTTAACGGTGCAGTCCGTAGCGGACATCTCAAGGTCTGATCCGGATGCTAGTAGTCAGTAGGTCCTGGCCGCCATCAGATCCGGTGGATTGGCCATGGATGCGGGGGCACAACCCTTGACCTGGCCCGAGGCACACCAAGCACTCCTCCCCTAGCCGCCATCGCCGACATACAGTTAGTAACCAATTACTAACCAAGCGCTCCTCTGGCCCATTTTTTGATTACAATAATTCAAAAGAAAACCTTGAACTTGTTGACAAAAACTAAACAGAACCTTTTTTTTTACAGAAAGACTGTAAGGAAACCCCCTACAATATAATTGGTGCAATAAACCCAAATTACAAGTACCATGCCTTGAACCTGGGTGGCCTTAGTCTGCAAAACTAAACAGAACCTTGAACTCCCAGTCCCTGGAATCAGCACACCGAACTCTCCAATCCGGTCTATTTTGAACTTTGAGAGTTTTTAGCTGGTATTCGTTGACGTGGCAAGCCAAACACTTGGATCGTTGACTAAGTTGTGTGTTCCTCTGTTCGTTCTTATCGCTGCTTGTTCGTTTATTTTTTTGGTTTCCTTTTGTTATTTCTTCTGTTTTTTAATTTCTTTACCGGTTTTCTTCGGGCTTTTTCAGTTATAGGTTGTTTCTTTTCTTTCTCGATTTTCTTCGGTTTTCTTTTGTTCCCTTTTTTTGCAATGTTTCTTTCTTCGAAAAATGTTCGGGACTACAAAATTTTATTCACGTTTTAAAAAATGTTTAAACTTTATTTTTTTTCCTCTTTCCAAAATTTGTTCAAAATTTAATTTTTTTTCCTATTTTTCAAAAAATGTTCTTCTCTTAAAAATTGTTTGAGACTTTAAAAAATGTTAAAATTTGATAAAAATGAGTTTTAAAGAAATGCTCATAAATTCAAAAAAAGTCCGTGTTTTACAAAATTGCTCGCTACAATACCTCCCATTTTTCGAAAAATGTTTGAAGTTTGAAAAATGTTTGTGTACTAAAAAATGTTTGCTACATGGCTACAGTACCTCCTATGTTCTAAAAAGAAAATTATGTTTCCAAAAACTGTTCAAGATTTTTGTAAAATGTTTGAGCTTAATTTTTTTTGTTCTCAACTTTGTAAAATATTCATGTTCTAAAAAATATTCAGTATTTCTAAATAGATTTTTCCGTGTTTGTTCTCAGGATCTGGCGCTGCTGTTGGCTCGTTTTAATACACCACGCTGCCTAATAACGACTTAACGAGACACAAGCTCTCATTCGCTGTACTGGCTAACATCCGGCGTGTGTAGCCGAAGAGTACGCATTCGAATCCTCTCAGGGCAGCTATTTTTTGTTACATTTTTAACTGGCACGAACTGGTGGTACAATATCCGTCAATGGGCCGGCCCATAGAGGCTCCACGCAGCCAAAAATCCCGGGTTTGACCCGCATGTCAACGACCCTGTTTGACAACACTCTTAAGATTCAAAATAGACCGAGATCAGAGAATTTGATGTGTTGATTTCAGGGATTGAAAGGGGTTCAATTTAGCTTTAGTTTACAAGTTCAAGATTTGTTTTGGATTTTCTTTTCTTTTTCAATTACTAACCCAAGGCATACAGTTTATTTTCGGTATTTATCAAATAAACTGTAATTCGTTAGTAACTTTCCTACCATATATATCAATGATAAAATGGTCGAGTTAACACTTAACTTAGGCTCAAAAATAAGATCACTACCCAAGCGCTCCTCCAATCATCTTCTCGGTATTTATCAAATAAAGTGTAATTGGTTAGTAACTTTCCTACCATATATACCAATGACAAAAAGTTCGGTTAAGTACTTTTGGTTACATTTATAATTTACAATACTAAATTTATGGATTAGACAAGATCTTATGTGACTTCATAAATTTCTTTAATAATGCAACCTAGTGTCCTCTTTGTTCTCTGGGCTATGGATCCTTCAAGATCGAATTCGGGTCGTCATGGGCATTTCCGGGGAGACTTCTTGACTAGCTGCGTGGATTCCAATTTTCTTTTCCAACAATAGCAAAAAACTACAAGACGACAACATCGATGTGTCATCGGTATGTGGGGGATGGAGAGGATGAAAAACATTCTTTTAAGAATTTTCTTATAATATTGGTGTTTGATTAATATAGATATTCAGCTCCTTTGAAATAAAAAAGTTAAACATCACGAGCTACAGTGTGTACCTAGTGGCGGAGCTAGGATCGAGTTACTCGGGGTGCCAAACATCAATACCTAGTTAAGAGTTGTAGAAATTACACAAAAGTAGTATCTCTGGACCTAAACTTCACAGTAGTAAATCCAACAAACAGTACAAAAATTAAGGTTAAATATAATATGCGAACTGTTTTCCTTTTTCATAGGACCCTTGCGTGTACCCTTTCCTTTAGATGCACATCGCCGGTGATCCCTCGGCAAGAATTATAAATTCTCGCATACAATATCCGAAAATTTACACGCGCCACAGTCTCCAAAGGAGAAACAATGACTGATACTTCACCTTAAAAAAACAAAAAAGAATGACCGTCGGTCCTTAGAATAGAATAATAAACAAAAATAGGGAACCTACCAGCATTTGCTATCATCATACCAACATACGCGTGCCAACCAACCACGTACTGAGAGTTGACAGGTGCAGTATGTGTTGTATGAATTGGTGCCCATCGTCCCCATGTTGCATCCTGCATGACTAGTCATCCAAATCTGCATGAGCTAGGATGTGATGTCCAAATAAGCTGCATGCTCAGGGCATATAAATGGGCCGATTTCCAGCCTTGATCAATCATTTGTGATAACTGATAAGAGCGTTGCCGAGCCTTCTTTTGAAGCAAGTGGGATGTATTTAACCAAAAAAAATTTGGGTGTGTACCTTGGTCTTTGAGAATTGAGATATTGGAGTAAACCAAGCGTAAATTTTGTGTAGCCCCGGCCCAAGATATATCTCCTTGAAGAAGCTGGTCATCACCTGTGTCCCCCTATTACCTTTCTAAGATTTGCATGTACGAAACAAGATGAATGCAACGAGGCCTGGACTCGTCCACACCGCCGGCCAGGACCAGCGCTACGCGCTCATGAAGGCCAACGTCGACGGCCTCAAGCCGCTCCAAGTCGGCATGGCCGTCTGCGACCACCAAGGCCAGCAGGTCGCCTGGGAGTTCAACCTCCGCGACTTCTGCCGCCTCGCCGACGCGCACGATGACAAGGCCCTCGACTACCTCGCCGAGCGCGGCCTCGACCTCGACACGCTCTGTAACCACAGTGTCGATGCCTACATGCTCGGCGCGCTGCCGTGGATCACCTACGCCGGCGCCTACCACGTGACGTACCTCCTGAATATCGTCACGGGCGGCGCCCCGCTGCCGCACGACGTGGTCGGGTTCATCGGCGCCATGCAGTATTACCTCGGCCAACAGGTCTATGACGTTGCGACGATGGCGGCCGGCTGCCCGGGCATGCCGGTGGGGCTGGACCGCATCGCCGCTGACCTGCGCATCCATCCGCCGTGGGGGAGCCCTCGTTTTGCAGGCGCCGCCGGCGTGCGCGCGCTTCTGGCCTTCAGGATTTTGAAGGACGGGCAGTTTGGCGGCAACGTGGAGAGGTTTCGAGGCCTACTTCAGGGCCTGCAACATTAGTTCTTCGACGGTCAATCAGAATCACGCGAGCAACGTCGTTGGTCAAGAATTCGAATGTGCAACGGACTCATGCCGCCCGCCGCCTCTACTTGCATATGTGATCATTTAATGGTAGTAGTTCAGAAGATTGTTAGTACTAGTCTTATATATAGGTCAAGTGTTTGTTTTTCTCATGAAAAAAAACATTTGATTTTCCTTTTAGTAGTATTCAAAACTTAACCAAAAAAGGGTTTCCCCTGCTTTGTATCCCAAAGCAAACCACCATTGACACATCGCAATGCTGGGGCGAGCAGCACATCAAGCCCAAAAAAAGGAAGAAAAAATCATAAACGGCAAAGATACAAGATACCAAAGGAGCCACTAACAAGACTCGAATGCACCAAGCACAAGCTTGAACATCGAAGCCCTCGGCGAACAGGAGCCAACACATGTCGCGACTGAGCCGAGGTAGATCCCGTTGCAGGAGTATTGTCACGCTCCGTCATCCCCCTTGAGCCAAGCCATCCGGTCCGCCATCCGTCTCTACCTCCGAAGAGAGCCCCTGCCCTCTAGTCCTGGATCAGATGACACTACACCATCGACCGGCAGAGTCGCTCACCCCTGAGCTCGCATGACCAGGACTAACAGGTTGCCGGGAGGGGACGACAAGCACGACTACTGCACCAGGAAGCCGCACCACCGAGAATCGCCAACGCCGCACGCGGGAACTTCAACCGCAAGTGGCCGAGCATGGACACCACTGACGATATCCGGCAGCCACCTCCCATGCCAAAGCCTCGACCACCACTCCGCCGCTCCAAGGTGGTGTCTTCAAGAAGAAAAACGACGCCGGAGCGCCGTCACCACGCAATCACCCGGGACGAGGAAGGAAGGGCGAGGGGGGGATTGCGAAGCCGCCTTCAAGAAGGGGAACGACGCCGAAGCGCCGCCAGCATCGTGGCTGCAGCGAACAGCCAAGGGGTTTCCCCCAATCCATCCCCCGAGAGGAAGCACCATCGCCAGATCTGCTCCAAGGGCAAACGGGGAAGCCCTAGGAGCCAGCCACGCTCGTCGTCGATCTGCCACCCACACGGCCAGGAGCGGCACTCCCCGCGTCTGCATCAGCCACCCGCCGAAGGGGGGCTGACGCGCTCCCCCAGTGGCCGCTGCCACCACGCGAGGCGCAACCGCGTGGAACAGAGCAACACCAAGCCCAACGCACCGCCGCCAGGCACCGGCCCCACCACCGCCGCCCGCCGCCGCGCCATCACGCCCTCGGCCGGCACCACGCCGTCGCCCGCTGGCCCCGACCCGCGCCGGCCCTAACGAGCAGGGGAAGGAAGGCCCCGCCGCCGCCGAGGCTGGCCGGGCTTCGCCTGTCAGTGCGAGCCGGCGGCGCGAAGGAGGAGTCGAGGAGGAGGGGGGCTAGTGACCGGGGGCTAGGGTTTCTCCTCCGCGTCGCTCGCGGGAAGGGAGGGGAGGGGGGTGTCGTGTATCCAGAACTTCCAGTCAAGGGTCCTTTTAGTGATGGTTCCCTAAAAAATGGGTTTTAATGATACATGATGTATTTGTCGTAATACTTACTTGAGTAGTTAACATCTCCAATAGCGAACCTCTGGGTGATCGCTCGCGCTAGCCACCTCATCATTTTTACTGTGCTAGCGAGAGAGAAAAACGGAAGGGGTAAAAAGGGACGGACTCTACCGAGCCTTGTATGCTGGTGGCGAAGGGCACCACGCCTGTCTCTGTTCTGATCAACAGAACGGCCCGTTTGTGAGGAGCTCAATCGGCTGTGACTTCATATTCTCTTGGTGCGGTGTTCATGGGCATCTGCATGCTCGGGTGGACTGGAACGTCCAACCACCGCTTGCTAGAGTTGATTCGCATGTCGTTCTTGGTTCAGTAATAATGGCTATGTGTTGTACGTGTATACTCCACCACGTGGATGATGTGATGTGTGCAGTTTATCCGTACTAATCTGCGCGAGATGGGGTGTGATAATGAACATTGAGTCAAATCTGCATGAGCTGGGGTGTGATGATCAAATGAGCCGCACACATGTTATATGGGTGGGGCGTAGTTTTTTAAAAAAATATAAAAGATGTTCCCATTTTTAAAAAATGTTCTTTTAAAAAATTATTTAAGAATTCCAAAAAATGTTAAAATTCAAAAGAATCAAGTTTTAAAGAAATGCTCATAAATTCGAAAATAATGTCTGTGTTTTACTTGCTCCCTACAATACCTCCCAGTTTTCAAAAAATGTTCAAAGTTTGAAAAATGTTTGTGCACTAAAAAATGTTCACTACATGGCTACAGTACCTCCTAGGTTTTCAAAAATTAATTGTGTTTTCAAAAAAGTCCAAGATTTTTGAAAAATATTTGAGCTTAATTTTTTTTCTCAACTTTGCAAAATATCCGCGTTCTTAGAAATATTTAGTATTTCCAAACAGATTGTTTTGTGTTTGTTCTCAGGATCTGGCGCTGATGTTGGCTCAACCTTGTACAATGCAAGGTGCTTAGGAAAGGTGCTTGGACAAATAAACCAGGCTTTCTCTAAGCACCGGTGCTTATTTATATAGGGTAGCCGCTTAATTAGGCGTCTCTCTTATAGAAATAGGCACTGATGCTTTAGAAAAAATTAGGTTTATTTTTCTAAGCGCCTTCCTAAGCACCTAACATTGTACAAGACCTAACACGCCCCGCAACCTAACCACTTAACGAGACACACATGCTCGTTCGTTGTACTGGCTAATATCCGGCGGGTGTAGCCGAAGTGTCCGTGTTCGAATCCTCTCGGGGCACCTGTTTTTTTACATTTTTATAACTGGCGCGAATTGGTGGTACAATATCCATCAACGGGCCGGCCCATAGCGGCTCCACGCAGCCAATAACACTCTTAAGGTCCAAAAAAGACCGGGATCAGAGAATTCGATGCGTTGATTTCAGGGATTGAAAGGGGTTCAATTCAGCTTTCGTTTACAAGTTCAAAGTTTTTTTTATAATAATATTGGTGTTTTTTTTGGTGTTTGATTAATATAGAGATTCAGCTCCTTTGAAATAAAAAAAAGTTAAACCTCATGAGCTACAGCGTGTACCCAGTGGCGGACCTAGCATCGAGGTACTCGGGGTGCCAAACATCAATACCTAGTTAAAAGTTGTAGAAAATACACAAAAGTAGTATGACTGGGCCTAAACTTCATAGTAAATCCAACAAATAGTACAAAAATTAAGGTTAAATACACTATACCAACTATTTTTCTTTTTCATAAAGGGTGCCATGGTTCATCTCACACACACACACACACATCTACCCATGTGTGTACCCTGCACGCGCCACAGTCTCCAAGGAGAAACAACAAAGTGATACTTCACCTATCAAAAAAAGAAAAGAAAAAAACAAGACCGACGGTCCTTAGAATAGAATAATAAACAAAAAAAGGAAACCTACCAGCATTTGCTATCATCGTACCAACATACGCGTGCTAACCAACAACGTATTAAGAGTTGACAGATGCAGTATGTGTTGTATGAATTGGTGCCCACCGTCCCCATATTCCATCCAGCCTGCATGACTGGTCGTCCAAATTTGCATGAGCTAGGCTGTGATATCCAAATAAGCTGCATGCTCAGGGCATATAACAACGTTTGAAAAGAGTGAAATCAGCTATCTAAAATTAGTGAAATATGATCTTCGAATTGGGTGTGATCTTTTTTAGTGAAATATGCTTTTCATACACGTCACACATTTTATGGGTGTGAAATACGTGAAACTTGTTATTTCAGAATTTTGAAACTAGTTATGTAAAACTAATTATGTCAAACTTTTTTTAAATGAGTGGAATATGTTTTACGAAATAAGTGAAATTGTTTTTTGAATTGAGTCTAATAAGTTTTTTTGAAATATTTGAAATTAGTTATTTGCTTTGAGTGACATCAGCTTTCTAAAAATAGTGAAATATGAGCTTTGAATTGAGTGAGACCAATTTTTTAAAATGAGTAAAATATGTTTTTCATACACATGACACATTTTGGGTGTGAAATACATGAAACTTGTTATTTCAGAATTTTGAAACTAGTCATGTATTACATGTCAAACTAATTATTTCAAAAAAAATAAATGAGTGAAATATGTTTTACGGAAACAAGTGAAATTGTTCTTTTAATTGATATTTTTTGAATTGAATCAAATAAGTTTTTTGAAATATTTGAAATCAGTTATTTGCTTTGAGTGAAATCAGCTTTTCTAAAACTAGTGAAATACGATCTTTGAATTGGGTGAGAGCAATTTTTTAAAATGAGCGAAATATGTTTTTCATACACATGATACATTTTTGGGTGTGAAATACGTGAAACATGTTATTTCAGAATTTCTAAACGAGTGAAATCAGTTTTTCACACTAATTATAATCCATTTCGAACTGAAATATGAAAATGAGTGATATATGTTTTCTCAATTAAGTGAAATTATTTTGCTGAAATGAGTGACATCAGTTTTTTCATATGAGTGAAATCATTTTTTAACATAGTGAAATGAAATCAGTTTTACGAAATTTGTGTAGCCAGTTCTTTGAAACAAATGAAATATGTGTTTTCAAATATGTGAAATTGGTGTTTAAATTTAGTTAAATTTATTTTTTTACACGACCGTAATACATTTTTGAAATGAGTAAAATTGTTTCTGTAAATGAGTGAAATAGGTGTTTCGGAATAAAGGAGATCAGTGTTTCAAAATGAATGAATTTAGTTTTTGAAATGAGTGAAATCACCTTTTCGAAATAAGCGAAACCAATTCTTTGAAATGACTTAAATATGTGTTCTGATACGAGTGAAATCAATGTTTTAAAATGAGTAAAATTAGTTTTCTAAAATGAGTTAAATCTGTATTTTCGCAAAGTGTTTTTTAGCGTACCGGGATGTACTGGTGGCTCTCTCACCAATAGCATGCTATCAGCTCAAAAGGTGTACATTTGTATTCCCCTCTTCTCTCTATTTAAGTCATCGTATTTCATAAGATCGGGCCC